CTTCTCTTGTAAAAATAAAATGGTTGTCAAATGTATGAGTTGACTTGTGCCTCTGACAGCTTATTCCTGCCGCTGGAGTTATGGGAGGAAGGCCAGTAAAGTATGCAGTGAATAATTACTGACTTCTGCTTAAAGTTTTGAAAAGGAAGAATATAATTTCATTTTTGTATGGGAGGAGGGTGTTACTTGGAACCTACTTTCAGAAGGAGGTTGCTGGCAGTAGTAATGGTATGTTGAAGAGAACCAGCAACACTCTAACCATCAGTGAGCTGGCTGCAATGGCTTTCCTGTAAATTCTAACCAACTGTGCCACTGTTTAGCAGAGCTTCCCAGGGCAACTATAGCCTGGGACAGTTTCTTCCAAAGCTCAGAGAACTCACATAAGACTTCTGCTTCCCACATTCTGGTTTTCACCTAAGTGATATTTATTAAGCTCCTACTATATGCGTAGCATGATGCTAGGTGTTGGGGAGAAATACAAAAGAGGTGGTTTATACCATAAGTTCTTTACACTCTGGTTGAGTGGATAGTCAAACATTAACAGATTAAAAAAATAAAAAACCTCTACTTAGTCTGTACTATCTGTAAGGGGACCCAGGGAATAGATAGAGCAAGGAGCTTGGGGCATCAGGCTCCTTTGGTATTTCCCTTTCAGGGTGACCTAGATTTGTCCTCAGCTATAACAAGTATAGCTCTGAGAAGGGCCCCCCCCTGGTCCCTGGAGCAGTTCAAAGGGAGAACACACTGCAGGCTAGGGGATGAGGAAATGGAGTGTGGGATCCGAGCTGGGAGGGCCAGAGAAGAGGTATTTCTGGACTGACTGACTTGTACTGGCAAAGGTACCAATATACTGTGTTCAGAAAATGGCAAGGAAACCATTTTGGTGAAGCATAGCATCTGCATGGGGCTGAGGTCCGGAGTAGTGGTCTTTGAATACCTGTCTTGGGGGCTGTTGCAGGGTCCTGAGTAGAAAAGCGACATGACAGCATAGAGCAGAAGTCAGATGGAGCAAGGTGGAGCTGGGTCACTTCAGAGAAAAGAGAGGCGATGAGGCAAGAGTGGAGGCAGCAGATATGGCTGGGCATGAGCGCTTCATTTTGGCAAAATGGAGAGAGACCTGAGAAAGACCAGCCTTGAGGGATATTGTGAAGAAACTAAGTATAGATGTCACCTGCCTGGAAAGATGTCGGTGTTCTGATCAATCAGTCTCTTCTTGTATTTTACAGATTCGACCAGTTATTGAACAAACCTTTCCTTTTTCTCAAGTTCCGGAAGCTTTCCTAAAGGTGGAAAGAGGACATGCACGAGGAAAGACCGTAATTAATGTCATTTAAATAAATACTGTATGTGGTTTAGTGATTGTTGGCTTTCTTATTTGGTGAGTGCTTGTGGTCCATACTTTTTTCTAGCCATCCCCCTCAAACATTTTTCCATATTAGGTTATAAGTTCCATGATAGGCTAAAAAAAAATAAACACACCTTTTTTTTTTTTGCCAATGACTTGCCAGTGGTTGATACAAACATCAGCACTTGGACTTGTCTGTAGTCAGTGAGAATTGCATATTCTTTTTAAGCTGTTCTTTCACAACAGCTTTGCAGATTGCTATGGTACCTTCTCTTCTAGCAACTCAAACCTTGTTTTATTATGATAATGTTTTTAAGGTCCTAAAACTTGGAGTTTGTGAATGGATACCAGCATGAAAAGTTATTAAAAAGCTTGCTCTGGACTGGGAGCATAGCTCAGTGATAAAGCACTTGCCTGGTGTGCATGAGGCCATCCCTAACATCACAAAATAAATAAGTTTGTTAATTGAATAAAATAAAAGCTGGTTTCTTCTTGAATTCATCAGTGAACACTTTCTAACTGGCTGCCTTAGTTTGGATTTGGATGACCCCCAAAGACCATGTGTTGGAGCTTGGTCTGAGCTTGTGGTGTTACTGGAAGTCAGTGGAACCTTTAAGTGGTAGAACTAGTAGGAAGAAGCTAGGTCACTGGGGGCATGCCCTTGGAGGAGATACTGGGATCCTGGTGCCTTCCTGCCTTCTTTGCTTCCTGGCTGACAAAAGTGAGCATTTTCTTTCACCATTTGCTTCCACCATGATGTGCTGCTTCACCACAGGCCCCAAAGCAACAAAGCCAACTGATGTGAACTGAATCCTCCAAAACTGAGCCAAAATAAACATTTCCACCTTATAACTTGATTATCTCAGTTATTTGTTACAATAATAATCTAACACAGAAAATTGGTACCAAGAAGTGGGATCATTGCTATGACTATACTGATTTGATTCAGAAGCCTTTGGAATTTGTTTGCAGAGAAATTTAGAAAAGTTTAGAGAAGCAGATGATAGAAAGCCTAAAATGCTGTAAATGGAATTTAATGAGTGATTCTCGTGATGGCTCAGAAGGCTAGAATGCTGACGAGAATGCAGACAGTAAGACTGCTGATGAAGCTTCAGATATAAGTAAGGACACTATTAGGAATTTGACCAGCAGTCATCTGGATTAAAAGTCTGGCAAGTTATATTTTGTCTGTTCCCTGAGACTTTGTGTAAGGCTGAATTTAAAGGTGACAGACTAGTTTATTTGGAGGAGGAAATTTCAAAGCAACACAGTATTCAGTTAGCAGCACAGGTACTACTGGTTGCTTTTAGCCAAATTCACAGTGAGAATCAGGAGCAAAGAGGAGCAGTGTGGAAAAATTAGGAAAACCTGCAATTTGCCAGAAAAGAAGCTCATTTCAGGGGCTTACAAGGAAGATACTAAAGAGATCAGCATAATTAAAAAGAAGTGAAGTACTTTGCACTTGGACAATAAGAAAGATGCCTTCAGGGCATCTCAGGAATTGAAAAGAGTTTTGTTTGAGGAGAGAGTCCTGGGGGCACTCTGTGCACACAGAGCTACCTAGGGAATTATCTCCCTGGGATTTGTTTCCTGTGTTTAGCCATCAAGGCACTCAGGCCACTGCAGCAGTGGTTTGAACCAGTGTGGATGTGGCTGTCATTGTCCTCATGATGCTGGTTTTGCAGGCATGCAGAATGCAAGAATTCCTGGGTCATTGAGCCTTCTACCAAGATTTCAGAGGAAAGCCTTAGAGGCTGGGCAGTGTGTGGCAGGGTCAGAATCCCTGCAAGCAATTCCTAACAGGGAGATACACGAAGCTTAAGAGTGAAGCTGAAGTTGTGATGGAGACCCCAGGAAGTTATAAATGCCAGGTACATGGAACACCTGTCAGGAGAAGCTGCTGTCAGGAAAGAGAGCCTAAGAGAATGGTCATGTGGGTTGCAGCCAGTAAGGCTGAAGGGGTGGTGCTGTCCAAGCACTTTGGACCTCACATCACACCAACTGTCCTGGTAGATATCAAACTGTGGGATTTAATGTTTGCCATGCTGGGTTTCAGTCTTGGTGTGTTCTAGTCCTCCCTTTGTGTGCCCCCATTCCTCCCTATTGGAATGGAATATTTACTCTGTCCCATTGTACCCTAGAACTATATGTTCTTTTGATTCTTATGGGGGCTCACAGCTTAGAATTTGTCTTGCAGAGAAGACTCTGGACTTGGATTTTTTGTTTGTTTTTGTTTTGGTGGTGCTGGGGATTGAACCCAGGTCCTTGTGCATGAGAGGCAGGAACTCTACCAACTGAGCTATGCTCCCAGCCCTGGACTTGGATTTTTGATCAGTGGTGGAACTGTTCAGATTTTGAGAACTCTTAGAGATGGAAGGAATTCATTTTGCACTGTGAGGTGGAAATAAGTCTTTGGGGCTAGGGTGGAATGCTATAGTTTGAACCTGGAATGTTCTCCAAAGGCCAATGTATTGAAGTCTTTGTCCCTTCAAAGTCTGTAGCCATCTTGGGAGGTGGTAGAACCTTTGGGACCTAGTGGAAGCAAAGTAAGTAGGTTATTGGAAGCATGGCCTTGGAAGGGTTATTGGGATCCTAGCCCCTTCTTACCTCCCTGTTTCCTGGCCTCCATCAGGTAAGCATCTTCCTTCACTGTGCCACCCCAATGTTCTCCTCACCACAGACACAAAAGCAACGGGTTCAACGGACCATGAACCAAAACTTCCAAAACCATGAGCCAAAATAAACATTGCCTCCTTATAACTTGGGTATCTCAGGTATTTTGTCACAGTAACAGTAAGCTAACACACTTTGTTTTTATTCCCCTGCTCTACTGTGGTTATCACAGACTTATTAGTTTTGAATCTGTTATGGTCATCTATAAAAATCTGGCCTGATTTGATTGCTTAATCTCTTAATATTCAAAGGTAAGGATAAAGTTTCTAACTTTCTTAAACCCTAAGTTTTTCATAAGGGCTGGGCCTCTTTCAGCAATTGAAACATGCTTCTTCTCTGGGGACCTTTCTGGGGAAATTGCCACCATTCCAGTGGAGTCTAGTTGGCCATTATCTGACCTCACATGACTGCATTTAGGTACAATACACCAATACACCCATCACAGCATGCACTTCAGAATCTCCATTAATGTGTTTTTTATTGACTGTTGGACTCACCTCCATTATCAGGCCTTTGGTACTTGCTTTTAGTTTTTGATGCAGACTTGTTCTGAGAAGATTTCACTTTGTATTTTCCTGTTAGACACTTATTTGGTAGCATGTTGGATATGGGCTTTTCTCTAGAGTTGTCTGAGCACAAATTACTTCAAAAGAAAAAGATGTTTTTCTATTTGTAAAAACTAGTTGCTCTTTTTTTTTTTTTTTATAAAACTAGTTGCTCTTAATTTCCACCTGGAGCAGTCTCAGCTCTTGTCCCTGAGGGCGGTAGTGAGGAGTTAGGTACTTGAGAGAGTAGATAGGCCAGGACCTCACTTGTTCTATTATGCAGTTAAAGGGTGGTCAGCAAAACCTTCCCTGCTGTCACACCAGGACCCTGAGCTGGCCCCATCCTACTCTGTCAGACATTTATTTCAAATTTTCTGACTGACCCTTAGAAGTGGTTAGATGAGGGCTTCTGAATGGACTGTATGAGATTTCATCAATATAGTTAACCAGAAACAAGTTTATTCAAGAGATAAATTCAGCACAGGTTATTATAGAATATCTTACCCATCATTCTGTAATGATATACACAAAATGCTTACAATCAGAGCTCTACATCTAAGAATGAGACAGACATGTTGGAGCTGTTGTACATGTGCAAACATTATTTTAAAACTGAAGGTAAATTATTCTAATGACCACAGTTGCCTACAGACTTCAGGGAGGATCACATTTCAGAATTGGAAACACCTGAACTAATGAAATGGAAAGATTTGTTCTACTTATAACAAGAGCACCGGTATTCAGGAACAAAGACAGGAAAAAAAAAAAATAAAAGGAAGGTTGTATTCAAGGAAACATTCAGCAGTTTAGTTCAAAACTAGAACCAACAGAGCTGCAAGGGAAACATTTCCTTTGCATTTCTGAATTGCTTACGGCATTCACAGGTGCTCAGAGCTGTAACCTATGGCCAACACCAGCCTTCAGGGTCTCTTCTCTTTTACTTTCTGGACATGAGCGCTGATCATCCCCTGCAGCTTTGCACACCTCTCTGCTACTAGAAGGAAGTGATATCAGGGCTGCAGTACCCCCAGTACCTTCAGACCTGAGCCTGTCCCACTCAGTAGTGCCTGGAAGTTAGGTTAGCAAAAATCTATAGAACATGGCTTCAGTACTTGCAGACAAGTAAGGAGAGGCTAATAAATTAGGCCATGATAATACTGTTCCAGTAGCAGCTATCGGAAAGGCATTAAACATTCACTTGTGATATCTAGAGCAGCCCCTAGAATAATCCAAATTCTGCTAATAAATGTTAGCAGACATGGACATGAAGTTAATCAGTTTACTAATTTTTAAATATTAACTGAAAGAAAATAGTATTTGTTTATACTTATAATGTCTCTGAACATATAAGGCTTTCACACTTTATTATCAAGCATAATTAATGGTTCCAGAAAACATTAAGGCCGAGGACCAAAGGTACAGGCCTAATAAAGCATGTTTTTCAGATGCTCAATAGTCTTCTACCTTACAAACTTAGGCTTTTATCCTTCCCTTTAAAGTAGAAGGGATTTTTAAGTCCACAAAGTAAACTTGATCCTGTTCTCTCCATTACAATCTTTGGAAATAATTTTAAACATTCATAATCTTGAAGTCTTCCTATCGCATCTTTAAACACCCCCAAAGCTGCTAGTGATGCAACTTGTTTAAGTAGCTACTGAGAGAAAATGAAAGGCAAAAAATGAAAGGAGGACAAAGTATTGGTTTAAAATTATTGCAGTCTTTTGAAAAGATGAGATGATTCTCCCAGCCACGGCAGTGTCATTCAAGATGGAAGAAGAAGTCCATCCACTTTCCACTTGGCTCCTCCATCAGTATTGTCCTTTGTGTTTCTTAAATAAGGCAGCTGGAAAGACCTCCAGAAAGGTTCCCACTGTATCCGTTGTTCTGGCTCATAGGACCATGGCTTCCCACACTTGTGTTAACTTCTCTTTGCTGGCTGTGTTGAGGATAATGTGATTCTGATCATACTGCGCACCCCCTGAAAGAAAGAAAAGAGGAAATATGCCCAAGGTGAAGGGACAACAGCAGACACAATTTATACCAATACTCTAGAGCAAACACACAGGGCGTGAAACTGTGTGCTCCAAGAAAACAGCAGGAAGGAAGCCCTGAACTCCTGTGGGATGAGAGGCTCAACCTATCATAGGCCAGTCTAATGAAATTCATCATGGGACCCTGGCAGCTTCCCATGGCATAGCCTACCTCATGGGGCTCCTTTTCTACCTGATTCTTAAAGGCCAGTGTATGGTCCCTCTTACCATGCCTGAAACTGGGGGCAACAGGGAAACATCTAGAGGGGGAAAAAAGCAAAGAGACCACAGTAGAGTCAGTGGTGAGATCATGAATTTGAGCTCCTAGTGAGGAATAAACAGACCTACACTGGCAGAAAGGCAGTGGGAGTGGCTATCAGAGGCAACAGGTTTCTCGAGAATAATGAAAAAATGGTGATATTAAGTCCAAGGGGAGGATTTAATGACACCCAGAAGTATACACAGAGACCGGAAGCACTCCCACCACCGGGAACTTGGCAAACAAAAATACCCAGCAGTTAAAATGCTAAGTACCTTTGTACTGTAAAAGTAGTGTCATACACCTCATAACTTTTCTTCACCAGAATGTCTGCAAGAAGACATTCCAAGGATACTTATTGGAAACTTTTGATACTTTGTTAAAACCACCTTCTTTTAATAGAGAAGTATCTTTTATACTCCTGATGGTGAAGTATCATTAACCCAATAAAGGCTTTCTGATTTTCTTTCCATTATGGAATAAACATCCTTTCAGATACCTTATTTTATTTAGCATAAGACTCTGCACCAAGGTGCATTACCAGGGGCTTCAGGGAAATAAAAATCTGTGTGTCTGGTTGCAGGGCATGATTGGTATTGAAATCATGCTTCATCATCAGGCCAAGAAGAAATAAACTTCTTTTCTCCCTTAAATCATTTGCAAAAGGTCTGAAAATTTACATGATAGATCAAGGCAGATGGGGAAGGAAGTCATCTCTTATACTTCTATAAGAAATCAATTTGTCATCACTAATAGTCAAGAGCCTCTCCAGGTACTAGCAAGGTGCCTTGGGCCTTTTTATATCCAAGTCAGCAGTAGGGACTAGTAAATCGTATGCTATCCACCAAGACACAACATGCCCCACTGAAGTTTCAGAAAGTAGTCAGGGCACAGGGCCTTCTCTTTTCAATCTTCAAGATTATAGTATTTGTCATTGTTTTGTGGTACTGGGGATCAAATCCAGATTCTGTACTGCTAGAGTCCAAGATAAGAGTATCTTAATAATATTTACTTTTTGTGTGTATTATACCAATTCTAATTGGACTCACGAAGACTAGAAAGATCTTGAGAAATAATCTGAGTCATTAATTTGCCCTTGGGAAGAATTTAATCATCCCAGACTTTTTTCTTCTCTCTTTTTAGAAAATAGGTATATTTCAGGGCTAAAGGTAGAGCTCAGTGGTAAAGTGCTGGATTCGATATGTGAGGCCCTGGATTCAATTCCCAGCACCACAAAAAACAAAAACAAGGGAAAATCAGGTAAATTTCTACTGGACTATATGATACAAAAGATAGTGTTGGATGGGTAGAGAGTATAAGTGACTAAAAATGAAGCACAAAGACCTTTCTTTTTTTTTAGCACATATTTGGGGACTGGAAGACACTACGTGGGTTTTTTGTTTGTTTTAACTTACCTTCCCATACAACATGTATAAATGGTGTAAATGAGGCCACCAGTTGTTCTATCATATCTACACCACCTATGTACTGAAATCACACACATGCCTGCCATGTGTGTGAAATGACTAAATATCCTAATTTTTCTAACATTTCCAATTTCATCACCTTTCTTTGTCTTCCCTGGAGGATTTTGAAGCTATCTTACATTGAGGAGTGCTAGTGCCACAGAGTTGATCAAATAAGAATAAAGGCCCGGGTCAATGACTCTTAGCCAGTTACATCTGAGTTCTTGGCAAACAGGACTGAGGAAGAGTAATTTGGAACAAAGTTTCCATCCTCTTTAAAAGAAATCAGTAGCATTTCCTTAAAACACATAACAATAGAAAAATATTGCCTGGAAGATATCCTTTCTACTTTGGTTCACTTTTAGTTTTTGTGATATACAGTTGTTTCATTCATCTACTAATAGTATAATCCTGCCAGACTTTTGATGTTTTTTAAAGTGCTTATGAATCAGCTTCCACTGTTACCATAAGATAAGTCCTGGAATAATACGGGACTATCCAAACAACTTCCTCTCTAAACAGAAGCACAGAGGAAAGACACTTGATCTAGTAAGTGTTACAGCAATTTTAACAGGTTCTGGCAATTTGAATGGTTCTGGGGTAGCTCACGGAAACCACAGTCTCCTACTAAGTGCATGGAAGAGGACAGATGTGCTTATTATTTTCCTTGCATTGAGTGTGGTCAGTGCTCTACACCTCCCTGTCCAGAAGATGGCATCATTCTCCCACATGCTGAGAAATTTAAATTCAGTATAACAAGAAATTAAGTAATTATTGCAGCTGCCATACTACATATTGAGACTTCACAAATATACAGGCCACTGTCCTTACTCATGAGGCACTTGACTAATGTATAACTATTCTAGGGAAGGGGCTTTGAGGCCCTAGAGAAGAACCTCCTAGAGTCCCAAGTTCAGGTCAGAGCCAAGGCAGTGGTCACCATTCACTTTGGTATTCCACAGTTCAGCAGAGAGCCTGCCACCTGGTGGGTACCAGTGAATACTGACTGTTGAAGGAACAAAAGGAGAAAAGCTCGAAGGATTACAGGGATCTTAATCCTGGACATAGGGCATTAATGGCACCTGTAAGAAACATGAAAGTTTGCCTAGCCTTCTTTTGGGGACTAAACATATCTGAGTTTTTCTAACATTTCCAATTTTGTCACATTTCTTTGTCTTCTCTGGGGATTTTGAAGCTATTTTACATGGAATGAGGAGTGCCAGTGCCACAGAGTTGACCAAAAGAACAAAGGCCTGGGCCGGTGACTGTTAGCCAGTTTGAATTTTGAGTAATCTTCTCAAGATTGTAAAATGGGTATTGTGCCTGTCTGTATAGTGAGAGAAATCTATTGTATCAAATGTGATATGAGGGATGTATGCTACATAGTAGTTCATTTTCTGAATGTGAGACTTATTTTCTCATATGCAAGGATCCTATGCACATTTTACATGATTTTCTTGTCCCCATCCAGCCTGCAAGCACATTGCTTAATTTGTGCTCAGCCTCTGCCTTCATTCAACTTGGTTTGTCTGCCTGTCTGAGCACCTTTCCAACTTCTCAAGTTCTTTGTGATTTTAATTCCACTGCTAAGTGGATTGGCCACTCTACCTACCTGGAGATCACAGGAATTGATAGGCACTTCTATTCCTAAGCAGTTACCAAAACCCCTGATAAAAAATGTTCTTGATAAGAAGCGAAATCAAGAATCAATAAATGAGATGGTATCAAACTAAAAAGCTTCACAGCAAAGGAAATAATCTGCAGAATGGGAGGAAAATATTTGCCACCGGCACCTCAGATAGGTTGTTAATTTCCAGGATATACAAAGAACTCAAAATACCAAAAAAACAAAAACAAAAACCCACAAATAAACAAATAACCCAATCAATAAATGGGCAGATACTTCCTACAAGAAGAAATATGGATGGCCAACAAATATATGAAAAAATGTTCAATTACACTGAGATTTCATCTCACTCCAGTCAGAATACAATTATTGAGAATACAAGTAATAACAAATGTTGGCAAGGATGTGAGGGAAAAAGTAGAATAATACATTGCTGGTAGAACTGCAAATTGGTGCAACATTCTGGAAAGTAGTATGGAGATGCTTCAAAAATCTAGGAATGGAACCACCATTTGAACCAGTTATCCCACTACTAGGCATCTATCCAAAGGAGTTAAAACCAGCATACTACAGTGACCCAGCCACATCAATGTTTATAGCAGCTCAATTAACAATAGCTAAGCTATGAAACAAACCTAGGTGCCCCTCAACAGATGAATAGATAAAGAAAATGTGGTATATATACACAATGGAATATTACTCAGACATAAAAAGGACTGACTTTATGATATTTGCCAGTAAATAGAAGGAGCTGGAGATTACCATGCTAAGTGAAATAAGCCAATCTCCCCAAAATCAAAGATTGAATGTTCTCTCTGATATGTGGATGCTAACACACAACAAAGTGGGGAGGGGATGAATAGAAGTTCGGTGGATTAGACAAAGGGGAATGAAGGGAAGTGACAGGGTATAGGAATAGGAAAGACAGTTGAATGAATCTATCATGACTTATGTCCATATATGAATCCATTACAGTTAATCTCCATATCATGTACATCCACAAGACTGGGATCCTAATTAGAACAAGATATATTCCATGTATGTATAATATGTCAAATATACTCTGCTGTCATGTATAACTAAGAATAACAAATAAGGGGGAAAAAAAGTTCATGCTGTATTTTCCATTGTCCAGAAGTGTCTTAAAAACCAGACTAAGTTGTTTTTTTTTACCCTTACATCTTGGTTTTTAATGACGGCATTGGCCTACAGCCCTGATTAAAGTAAAAATCGAACCAACTTCTAGTGGTGAGTTAGAATGGAGTACAGAGTGAAGTATGTTTACATTATCACTGGTTTACTGTGTAGCAAAACAATCATGCCAGCTCTCTTGATAGGAAATAGAAAAGTGCCCATTAATAATTTAAAACAAAATTGCCCCAGATGACATGAATACTTGGTCTTCATTTGCTTGTAAATGGCAACAACAGTAATTCTCTGAATTCCATTATAATATTAGGTCAGTTTTGTTTTCCATTTTTTTTAAAGTACCATCAATGGTTCCCCTAGTTTGGTCCTCAGACCAGCAGCATCAGTAGCACCTGGAAACCTGTTAGAAAAGCAAATTCTTGGGTATCCCTCCAGACCTATTGTATCAGGAACTCTGAGGATGAGACCCAGCAGTCTTTGCTTAAACAGTCTTGCAGGTAATTCTATAACAGATATGTTTTGAGGACCACTGGCCCAACTCACTCTTCCAAGAAGCACCATCCGTTTACCCTGGATAAACGGCATTGAACACATGTTCTACTGAAATCATCCTCTGTTAATTCCTTTTGGTCTTAGATCTTTTCAATGAAAGGCTACATGTATATACATGAGAACCATCAACTATACTATGATAACAGCCTTTTAGATTATTATTTTTATAATAAAAACAGGGTAGGGGTTGTAGCTCAGTGATAGAACACATGCCTAGCATGCTTGGACCCTGGTTTCCATCCCTAGCACCTAAAAAAAAAAAAAAAAAGGTTTGGAAATGAGCCTGTATCCAGATCCAGCTCAGCTCTCACAGGTGTGAGATCATGGCCAAACTGACTAATGCCTCTGAGCCTTAGGATTTGGGGCTTAAAATAGGAAGGGAGAGAGGAGGGAGGAAGAGAACACAGACCTCTTAGGGCTGCTATGAAGCATGATCTCACAAGCTAATGTGTGTGACATGTTCAACACAGTGGCTGGCACCTAGTAGGGGCTTTCTTACTGTGATAGATGTAAGGTGTCCTCCCAAAACTCCTGTGTTAATGCAGGAATGTTTGGAGGTAAAATGATTAGATTATGAGAGCTATGCCCTAATCAGTCCATCATAGTTTGAATGGACTGACTGGGTGCTAACTGAAGGCAGGTGGAACGTGGTTGGAGGAGGTGGATACTGGAGGAGGTGTCCCAGAAGGTGTGTCCCTCCCCCCCCCCCCTTCTCTCTTTGCTTCTTGATCCCTCCCTCCATGAGCTGAGCAGCATTCCTCTGCTGGGCCCTTCCCCCATGATGTGCTATTCACTAGGACCCAAAACAATGGAGTCAGCCATCTATAAACTGAGACCTCAGACATTGTGAGCCCCCCTCAAAAAAACTTCCTCCTATAAGTTGTTCCTGTCAGGTGTTTTGGTCATAGTGATGAAAAAGCTAACAAAAACACTTACCATTCATAATGTACTTATCATTTTCAGAGGAGATTTTTCCTTAACTGAAGCAAGGGTACATTATAATAAAGGAAATGATCCTTACCTTTGATATCTAAAACTAAATTGGGCTTCAGTTTGCTGTGGATCCTGCCATCTGGCTTCATGCACCAGAGCTGACTGTCAACACTCTGGTCGAGTGCCAGACCCAGCTTTGAGCCAGATGTTACCAGGCTGCCCACGATTGTCAGGCAGCAGTCCTCTGCTATCTGTGTAGTGGAAAAAAACAAAGCATTAGAGAAGGAGACATATTCAAGTCTCACAGCAATTATTCCTCTAGTTAAAATGATTTTTAAAATTATCATAGTTCCTGACTTCATTTATCCCACATGAAGCATTTTAGCTTTTAGCCAGAATAACTAGACTCAAACAACAACTATTTATGCCCTTTATTTCAGAGGACATGAGTAATGGAAAGTTCTCAATTCTCGTCCATCATAAAGAGACTTCTGCCCTTGACAAGACTCTGTATTACTCTTAAGTCTCAGGACATTGAAACTCCCCATTGTGGTATTTTTCTCTGTTAGAAGTGACTGTGATCTGAGGCTGGGTCTGTAGCTCAATCTCTTCCCCTCACCCCCACCACACACACCTGCCTCTGCTTGGCCTGACCTTCTAGTATATGACTGCACTTCTAATGCTATAGCACTGGAGTGGCTACAGGGCATTTTATCATTTTAATACTTGAAATTGCGTTTATTAGCTTCTCTTGTCTTTCCTTCAGGAGAAATGTCTAAAATTTCCTAAATAGGCATGCTATCCACTATAAAAAGAGAAGAAACTACAAGCTCACTAGAGAGTGTTTTAATGCAAGGAGTTTAAGAGTCTTTCCCTGAAAAGAATTTACCCTTAATATATAAACATTGTATTACAGTCATAAGTTCACATACCGCAGTGCTATAAAAGTAAATAAAAGTTTTTTAAAAGCTCACTAAAAGAGTACTATTCTAGGCTGGGGATGAAATTCAGTAGTAAAGCACTTGCCTAGCATATTCCAAGCCCTGGGTTCAATCCCCAGCACCTCAATCAATCAATCAATCTATCAGTTAGTGCCTATTCAGTACCTATCAGTCAGTACCTAGTCTATTGTACCTATTCTATGTCCAGATGAAAGCATTGAGATCAGTTGTGACACTTCACTTATTTCATTTACCTAATGAATTAAAAGCTTTTAAACAATATCACTGAATTGTTGTTAGAAGTAACTGTTGGAAGCACTATTTTATTGCATTAAGATAATTCCAAGACAGAAATGGGCTTCTCTTCATGCTTCTATGTTTCAGCTACTTCTGTTTCTCGTGCTGCTGCTTCTGTGCGTGTCTAAACAGTCCTTCTGTTTTCGAAAGGCTGATTCTCCCTCAAGCATGGCAGACCCAATGAGCAAATGTGCTCCCCCCCCATGAGACTGTGTGCCTTCTGCTGACTCACGGGCACCAAGTTTTTAAAATACCTGGAGCCAACAGTCAAGCCCATAAAGTTAAGGAGTAAAGAAGAGACCTACAATAGAAGCGTGAACTTCTCTCGTAAAATCTGTCTACATTCAGCTTTTAAATGTCTGTGGGGACAAGAGTGATGCAAGAGGGCGATGGGCCATCCTCCACTTCACGGCATATGACCATTAGGAAATGGATGATGTGCACCCAGGGCCCTCTCTTCACCCTTCCTCCTGTACTGTGTGTTCTCCAAAACAGAAACAAACCAAGAGTGATTTTGGTTGATGCACTGGGGCTAGAGTTTACTTCTATAATAAGTAGATTAAGGAAAGGAGAAGAATAACAATCATTTCCTTTTTCTATTACAATATAAAAACCGAGTATAAATAGAAATACTCTATCTTGGATCAGTACTAAATTTACCTCCCATTTTAGGTTCCTAAGACTGGTTCATCAGAGCTGAGGAATATTTTCATGGAAAAAAAAAAAAAAGACACCTTCCAATTTTTTTGGAAAGTGCTCCAGGAATCATGAGAAGTATCTACTTGAAGAAAGATCAAAGGCATGATAAAGGATGAATTACCTCCTGGCAAAGGTATTCTAGACCCCTGCCTAGTCCAAAAAGCTCACCCTGCATTTGATGCATCCTTCTTGATAAATCCAAATCTGATCATCAGCACCAACATCTTCCATGACCTGTATTCTAAGAAGCTTCAAATCCTCTAAGTTGCCATTGGTTGACATGAATAACCCTGTTGCTTTGTTTCGAAGTCTGAAACAAATTCGTTTCTAGAAGACAAAACCCCAGCAATAGTCACATACAAACTGTGCTGTTAGAAACACTGAATAAGCATTAATATTTGGAAGAAGTCAAAGTGAAGTATGGATAAGGGATAATTACTATACTTGAGAGCCTCAGAGGTTTCAAGATTTTCTCAATGATAAGAGTTTGACAACATTTCAAAGTGCCGAGGGCAGAGACCCTGCCTATGGACACACCAGAGCTTGGAACATACCATGTCTGATGTTAGCATTTCTGAAGCAGCCACCCCTCATGTTGCCCAAATACTGAGCCTAAATACTGAGGGGGTGGGGGAGGAGCCAATTTCAAACTTTAGAAACTCAAAGTTGACTTGTACTTTCAAAAAAGAAAAAAATTTCAGAGAAGATTCTATTCACAGCAGGAAAAAGAAAAACATACCTGAACAAAGGGTCGTAGAGAACCTATTTGGCGGCAGCCACTGAATTCATACCAACTAGGTACTTCTGCTGGTGACAATAGGAACTGCCGACCTCTGTAATTTCCATATTCATAAGTAATCCATCTGGGGGTGAGGAGAGGAAAGGAGATAACCATAGGAAATGGAAATTTTCTTTTGACAATGGGCCCTAACAATTACATCTATTTTTAGAATGCTTTCTCAAATTCTGGACTGAACTTTATACTTTAAATATACATTGGTAGGGGGATGAAACTATTTTCTAGAACACTTAAGTCAGCCTTTTTTTTGACAAATAGCAGATTTTGGGTACAGTCTCAAAAAGAAATTGGTAATCTTTTTCCTCCAATAAAACAATGAAATAAAGATGATCTTTTAGTAGGACTCCACAGTCCTTCCTGAGAGTTGTTCTTAAAACATCCGCAGTTTGTGGATCTTTATTTAAATAGTTAATATTTGCAAATTCTTAATATGCAGCATTAGTTAGTGTTAAAGATTAAATAAAAAATAAATTTTGTTTAAAATGAGTAAAATCAATAAAAATGTTAAAAAGATACTCAGGTTCCTTCCCCCCAAATGCTGGAGCTGGCACACCAAAATGTTACTTTAGCCATCTTATCATAAAATATTTAATAGAACCTACTGAAAAAAACCACCCATA